GCAAATAAACCACATTTTTGCAGGTATCACACAATAGACATCTGGACCAATCTCCTCTATATCAGGATCAAATCTGGAAGGGACTCTTAAATTGCAATTGGTGAAATTTTGGTTTGGTGGAGCTTCACTTCGCTTTGATTTGGGTTTCGATTTGGAGTTTCGGAGTTCGTCAGCGTCTAACTAGCAGCAGCTACCTTGTTGTATTCTCCACGAAGCGATATGGCACGAGTACGGCAGAAACTGATCTCATCCTGAAGATTCGACTGCACATTCTGCATATAGGTGCACAGCATCGGTACGCACACAATGGCGACCAACGTGGCCACTGTCGAGACGGCAACGCCGCAGAAGGCGAGCCGTTTCATGCTCTCCGCCTCAACCAAACACTGCTTTGGATCGTCGTCGACCATCACTGTAAGACAGGTGAATTTTTTTGCATAAATTCATAAATATTTCCAGTCTATCTGCAACATATCACCGTATGGATATGGGGCTTTGAATCGCCATAGATAGTGTATCTATCCGTCGGATAAACTGCATCTTCTACGGGTAACTTCTACCACATCCTGCGGGTAAACTTGCAGAAGTACTCGCAACTCGAGACTACCGTAATTTAACCAAATCGAAGCCCGCCACCCGATCCAACCGATCAGTTTAATCATAAGCCTTAAATGAATCGCTAGGACGCTCGAGACTCTCTTATCTAGCGATCCAAAAAGCCCAATTCAAAGCCTAGCTTTCTCATTCATTTCGAGTGGAGAGTCTGAAGTGGACCGGCCGGACTGAAAGCCTCTAAGCCTTTCAAAATGGCATGGCACGAAGCAGGTAAACCACTGGCTTGCGAATACATTAGCAGTAGTAGTTATAGCAGGTAAAACACCACCACCATCGGCACCAGATAAGAAACCTTTGTAGTAGCTGCTGAAATGTGGGATGCTATGCCGTCATGGCAGAAAGCTCAAACTTTTATAGTGATCGTTTCGAACCAATTTGGGCGCATCTGAACCGGTTTTTTCGATGGAAAGTGGAAAAAAGCGACTGAAACTTTAAATTGAAACGTTTCTTTGGAGTGATTGTTCTGAGAGGATGATAAATAATGCGCTCTCCTTTGCTATGCTTACCGGTGAAGTTTTTTTCGTTCCGTCACTCGATCATATCATCGTGGCGTGTCGTAAATAATCGAATTCATTCGTTGAATCACAATGGAAACTGGGAGCAGCCATGGTATCAATATCAGTGGAATGGCATCAGTATCATAGCTTTTGCTATTGAATACACCTGAATTACTGTGAAAAAAACGGCCATCTTTCAAATTAAGTGTGCGTGGTTTATTGAGATTTTAGAGAGCTGCACCATTTTGAAGGTATTTTTCTATTTTCATTTTTATTT